AGGCCCATAGAAACAATTTCATGGTTTTAATTTCATCTCTCTATCTCTAATGGTGCATCCAGCTATCTAATAGCAATTATCTTACATTGCTGATTCTAAAAACAGTAATATCACAGGAGAAAATACAAGCCAACACAATGCTCCTTAAGGTTCATCTGCCCAGATAAATTGGTGTTACAAATTGGTGTTTCTCTAAGTTTTTAGTGATATCTTCAATTCCTAGAGCAAATGGAATCTTCTGTTTTGGATAAATTTATCTTGATAAGGGATGTTTATATATTATGTAGTTATTTTAAAATAATCATATTATATGGTGCAGGACAAAGGACCAATAGAACATTTTATATACTTTATTGTCCCATTAAAAATGCCTTTATACACAATAACCAAATGAAATGTATGGATCTTATTTTGATCCTGATTTGAATAGTCAAAAAAAATACATTTTTTTGACAACTGGATAAAGGTTAATGTAGACTGGGTATTAAAATATAGCAACATATTCTGATTAATTTAATTAGGTATGATAATGGCATGATGACTTTGCTAAAAAAATAATCAAGATTTTGGGATAAAGGAAAATGAAGGCTGGTTTGTCCTGAAATTATTCAGCCAAAAGAGAGAGAAATAGAGAGGGAGAGAGAAAGAGAGAGTTGAAGCAAGTGTGGCAAAATCTTGATAATTGTTGAAGCTGGGCAATAGGTCTACAGAGGTTCATTAAACAGCTTTTATCTTTTTTTGTATATGTATGGATTTTTCATAATTTAAAAAAACCCTTTGGGAAAGTAAATTGTGGGTTTGCGTTGAGTATGTAGTTTATCCATCCATAACAAAGTCAGATGTAACCTACAGGTTAGTTTGATGACTTAGAGCTTGAGGCCAAAAATGTTGGGGCAGTTAACATAACCTGATCCCCTGGCCATCGCTGTTTTAACTCTTACAAACGATCAAGCAAATGCCTGGCAATCGTTAGAAAGGCAACCAGGCAAAAGAATGTCATTAAGTTGGCATAAAAACAACAACAACAACACAAGAACAGCTGCAGTTAGTTGAATAACCACCAGCCCCATGAAATCATCTTCATATTCCCAATTTGAAGGTAAGAAAACTGAGGCTCTGAGATGTTAAGAGATTTCTCCAAGCGTTGATCCCAACTGCAGCCTCTTCTTCCAAGCACAGCCTCCACACTCCGGGAAATAACAGGCAGGTGTTCCACGAAGAAGCACTTGGGCAATTATGTGATGTCTATCTACCAAGCAGCACATTTTAATGTTCTCATACAAAAGCATGATTACTGACAAGTGATTAATATCTTTAAAATAACATTTTAATTAATAGTTAATTTCCCCAAAACATGAATTGTTTTCTCTTAGGATGTAGAACATGACTGAAATTTAAATGCTAAAATTTTGCCATTTCTATGTCTAATATGGAACAAAAATATGCATTATACAGATTAAAGCATGAATGAAAAATGTTATTCCCTTGTTAAACTGAGTTTCTTTGAATAACAAATGTTTGATGTTCTTGACTAGATAATGACTGGATAATAATTATTCACTTGGATGCAAAAGAGGTTTAACTCAAATAATTCAACTCAAATTTCACTAATATATCCTATTGGGGGGAAAATGTTGCTCAGTGTATCCATTTTGTGATCTTCAATTTTATTCTGTTTTTATTGGAAATATATTTCTTCTTGAAGAACTGACTTTGACTGGTCTTCAAAACTCAGGGGACCTCCATACACCACAGAGGTAGTTGGGTCTCCTGACTCCAAAGGTGACAGAGCTGAGGATGACAGTTTCATTCTTGCCTCCTGGAACATGTCATCATAGCCGTAAAGAAAGGTTACCTTTTACTACTTTTAAAAATAACACCCACATCCACTTTCTTTATGAAAACAGAAAGGGGAGATATTTAAATTCATCTTTGATTAGACATTTTTTCCCTAGGATGACAAGTCATTAACCAGAGGCAAAGAATGTTCAGTGTGACATTTCTAGCAGTCATGGATTGATTTTGTACTGTACTAAACAAATCAGTTCTGCGTTTGGCAGTTAGGCAATCATTAAGAGAGCTGTGGGTTATGACAGAGAGCTTTCTTATTACCACTTTTTCAAGCTCTAAAAATGTGCCGTTGCATTTGCAGAATCTACAGCCTAAATTACTACCCCCAGATGCCTGGGGAATTAGCCTAGTAGCCCCAGATGGTTGGGGGAAACACAGCCTTGTCTAAGGGAAGGAGTGCAGACTCACCTGAAATGGAACCAGACACAACCTGTGTCTCAGCTGAAACTCTTTTGTGGGAAGTTGCCACCTGCGTGGCACTAGAAGAGGCAGTCAGACATTGGCACACTTCCTGCTGTCAGCAAAACCCGAGCTGAGCTCATTCTGCTGAGCACCGAGCATCAGTTGAGGGCAGGAAACACTCCCCCCTCCCCGATATATACTTGCTCTTTCTCCATTTTTAAATTTCCACCTTACCCTCCTACTACAGTGGGATTTGCTTTATCCACCATCTCCTATTAGCATGCCCGGCCCCTATAACTAGCTTTGCAAGAGACTCCCAAAATATTGTAGGCCTGAATAAATGAAGTTGCTTTAAAAATATAGAATGAAAACCACACAATCAAAATTACACATTCAACTAAGTGTCTACAAAATAACATGTGTAATCAATCAGTCAATCGCAACTCATCATCTCCTTTGTAGGGCATACAAATGACATTTAGAGTGAGATGGGGTGAATTTCAATTTGTTTGACATGATATGGGACGGGGCCCCCAAGAGAGTTCCTCGCCCTTCTCTGATCCAAGCTGGCCCTTCTCACAGCCCTTTATTCTGAATTTCAGTACCCTGTCTTCTCCCTAAGCCACTCTCTTCCTCCAGGCCGGTGCCCCTACTCATTATCCTCACCCTGCCCATCTTTCCTCTTCAATTCGTTTCTTATTCTTCTGTAACCAGCTTAAACTGAATAGCATATAGTCTCTTAAACTTAATAGAATTCCATGTATTTTTGTTTGCAATAATATTCTACCTGAGTCTAAGAACACATTAGCATGCTCTTCACAGTCCAAATTTCAAGTTCTTATGGAAGCAGGACTGAGTAAGAACTGGAGGGCCCTCAGATCTCTCCAGGCTGACCTCAGGAGCAGAGGCAATATGCTGACTTAGCCTTCACTCCCCGTCCACCACCAAGGAGCCTCTTTCCTGTTTGCCCTCATTACTGAGATAGCATCTCGCTCCAAAGGCCTGAGCAAAGGTGACATGTTACTCAGTCTGTGGTCAGGCCACTGGCTCTGGGCAACAGATAAACAGGTGCAGGTGTTATTCCTCCTCAAAATGAAGACACTGTGGTGAATCCAAGGGCAACAGGTGGGAGAGACCAGGGAGTATTTTTCATTTTACTGAGGTCTTCTAAGAGCTGAGAGAAATGTACTTACAAAGCCAATATAATCATGTTTTTTCAGATCTATGCCGGGAAATTGCTACCATTTCTACAGTTCATGAAATAAGGAGACCAAAGTATAAGGTTTATCAGTTTGGAGGGTCTGAGATGATATGTGGACTCCATGCATACTCAGAAATAGGCTTGGGAATGTTCAGAGTATCAAAGCCCTGGGGGGGAAATATCTTTATTACACTCTCCAGGACATAAAAGGAAAGGAAGTTCCAAATATAAAGAAGAGCTATAAGTTAGAGCTAGTAAGAGGCAGCATTTATTGGGAACTGTGTGCCAGGCACTGTGCTAAAGAACATTACCTCGTAGATAAGGCAAGCATTTTGGCAATCTCTCTTATAGATAAGGTCACCAAGGCTTGGAGTTGCTTAAGTAAGGTCACATAGTGCTGCTGGATTGAACCCAGGCTGTCTGACACCTGAGCCTGTGTGGTCAACCTTGGAAAGGAGAAAATAGACTGTACCTTACCCAGACAGCTTGTGCCTGCCAGGAGCAGTTAAACCAAAGAAGAGGAATAGAAGGAACAAGCTTGGCATTTCTTTAAACACCTAGGGAGCGTTGGTCCTTCTGGTCCTGGTGACAGCCCCTGGAAACACCAACAGCCCAAACAGCACGGCTGAATTATCCAGGCATCAGTGCCCCACCTCTCACTGCCCCAAGGGCATAAGCATCTTGCCCAACCTGCCTTGGGACCTGTGCTCCTTCAGGAGTCCAGTGTCGCAAACACCCGACTTGTGACCCTGATTCAAACACTAGTTTACAAAAGCCACCTGGTTCTTTCTCGATCCTGAGCAGGCAGCCACTGTCCTGGGAATCTTTCTCTGCTTCTCCCAAGCAGCTAGTCACTCCTCTTTCCGAATTTTGATCTCATTTTAGCAAGATTATTTGTGCCTTTGTTTGATGCCTTTCACCAGAAACACATTTCCTTTTATTAAAAATATATCTATTTTTATTGATTTCAGAGAGGAAGGGAGAGGGAGCAAGAGATAGAAACATCAATGATGAGAGAGAATCATTGATCGGTTACCTCCTGCATGCCCCACATTGGGGATCAAGCCCACAACCAGGGCATATGGCCTGACAGGGAATCAAACCGTGACCTCCTGGTTCAGAGGTTGATGCTCAACCAATGAGCCACACCAGCCTACCCAGAAACACATTTCATAAAAGCAGGTACTACTGTGTCAGCCATCTTTGTATGCTCACTTTTTTCATTTGTTACTTTACATTTCACTGTGAGTCATCTATTGATTCATTCTATTCATTCAACAAATAACCGAATGCTTACTCTGACATGGGCACTGTTTTCAGTGCTAATAAAATAGCAGTGAATAAAACAGCTAATGTCTTGTTTTATTAAGTCTTGTTTTAAAGTCTTGTAATTTAAATAAATTAGTGCATTTCCAAAAAGGGTAAGATTTTTAGAGTACACATATGGGGCTAGTTCTGCATATTAAAAAATAAAATGAAGATGTATTAATTTTAAAATACTAAAAGTATCACATCAAAATTATTTAAATGGCTTTCAGGATTGAAACTGACTCTCTTTTCCCAATTGGTAATGTACAATGACATTATTTAGATACGTTAAAACAGTGTAATAACAAAATGTACATACTTTCATTTGAACCTCCTTTTTTATTTTTTAGGGAACCAATCCACTGTACAGAGGCTCCACCAGCACCTTTAAAAATGTAACCTATAAACACAGGGAAAAACAAAAGGTGGACCTTTCCACGGATGGATAGAACTACTTCATGCACAAAAAATGTCTGTTTCACTGATATGAAATGTTAATGCACTGCTTAATTTTTCTTTCTTTGTTGCTTAAAAATGAGCTTGGTTTAAGATAATAATAGGTCATTTGGAGATCAGTCATTCTCTGTATGAAGGTTAGAGACTATGTTGGCAGGTTCAAAATAATTAAGAAGAGAAATACCTTAGCAAAGGGGTGACTGGGGATCATTTGAGGAATATTCACTCTGTTGCATTAATGCCTCAAAAAATCAACAAAATGATTCATGGGAGCCTGATCTGCATTTGAAAAATGTTTGAAATTAGAATCTCATTTATATCCAGAATATAGCTACCTGAGGTCTTTGCCTCAGCCAAGTCACAAGGCCCATATGTTCCCATTACATATGCACATTCTCCAACTTATTCCAAACTTTTAGTAAATGTGCCTTTCCTAAAGGAGGATTTCTTTTTCTAAGAGATTCTGATTTTTACTTCAGCTGAAAGAATGCAATTCTCTAAAGAAATCCCAAATGTAAGAATGAAAATTAAGTGTTAATTACTGTGGATTTGTCTGAACCTAAAAGTCAGATACACAAATAAGTGTTTTATTTGTTTTACAGATGAGGAAGAAGTAATTTATAATTTTAGGAAGTCACCAGTAAAATAAATAAATAAATAAAAAATAGCAAGTCTATCAGTTAGATTATTTTCAGTTACTTACCCCAAAATAAACTTCTGCACTCAGATCCCCTCCAGATTCTGAGTTTTCAAACTATTGCTTCTCCCAAGTTTCTCAATCCATTTTACTCAGTTTCACAGTCTTCTAACCCCTGTAATTGCCATATGAAAGTTTTAATTTCTTGTTAAAGAATTACTTTAAGTGGTTAGTTTATTCAACAAGAGCTCCAATATTACAAAAGGGACAACATTTTAAGTGGTTTTAAATCAAGCACATCGTGAGTACAAAAGTCCCTCGTTGAGTAATGGGTTTCTTTACCAATATTCTCTTCCCACTTGCATAACATAACGACATTTCAGCTGCATATGGTAAATATGCATGATATATTTACTTTAAAAAGTAAGATTTTACTTGTAAAATACATGGGGGTGATTAGGGATCCTTAGATTGACTGAAGAGATGGACACTGCAAAATAACATTTCTTATAGTAAATACTACTTTACAAAGCACCTTCTTCTTCTCTGATCCTCGTAAGGAAGCTAGGGTTCAGAGAGTAACTAGAACTGGTCCACAATCCAGATCTTCCAGCTCCAAACCATGTCTTCTTTCCACAGCATGAGGCTGACTCCTTAGTCAGTGAAATGATAGAAAGATCTTGTGAGTTACACAGCAACTATCATTTGCTGGACAGAACATACAGCATTTAGACTACTGGATTGCAGGTGAAGTCTTGTACTTTTGTGCCCTGTTTATTACCTTTGAGGAAATTCCAATGTGAAGTCTTTTGCTACGTGAAGAGTTCATTCTGTAATGGAGGTTTCATGCTTCTCCACTGAATTGGAGCAGATTACTCCATGGTAAATTCCATCAGTCTTACAGGTAGATCTGTACACACTGATTACTTTGAGACTTTATTTCTGGTTTCTTAATAACTCAGGTAAATCTCACACTTGTGGAGTACCAGCTATGGTAAAAAAAAAAAAAATTACTAAGCAATCACCCTGGAAACCTGAAGGGCTGACGTGCCCCCTACTTCCCGACTGAAGCCCACAGTCTGGGGGAAATCTAGAGCAACAAGAAAGTTGCAATTCTGATGGCACAACCGTAGTATTCACCTTGACATGTGACATTTCTGTATTATTACTGGAATGGGATTTTAGAAAATATAAGTTTTCCTCCTGTATATATATAGAGAAGAATTTGCTATTTGTCTGAATACTGTTTTGACCCAGGGCTGGACCTTGAAAAGGCCAAAACATTAACAGTAGTACTTCTGTTCACTGAAGAGTTATGTTACATGAAGATAAAATGGGTTTTGTAAGTTGTTTTATTGTATTTTGTGTTGACATAAATAAACATGGTAATTTAAACAATGAGCCGTAGATGGTCGATAATTCCTTTTATTTACTTGCTACAAAACCCTCTTCTTGGATTTCTGGATCCCTGTGTGACCTGCTCTGACCGCCTTGCTGATCTGTCTGGGGCCAAGGAGAAGAGAAGAAAGAGGCAGCCACAGGATGCAAGAGACAGCAGAAAACAGGCTGTAATTTGCTGCCTGGTTATAACACTCCCATTACGAGGCCTTTTAAAACAGGCCTGGACATTACCCCATATTTTGTGAAAACAGGGTTAATGTTATGGGTTGAATTGTGGTCCCCACCCTAAAACTCATATACTTCTGAGGTCCTAACCCCCCAGTACCTCAGAATGTGACTGAGTTTGGACATATGGTATTTAAAGAGGTAATTAAGTTAAAATGAGATCATCAGGTTGGGCCCTGATCTGTTATGGTTGGTACCCTTATAAGAAAAAGAGATTAGGACACAGAAGTGCACAGAGGGAAGACCACACAGAGCACCGAGGAGGAGAACAGTCATCTATAAGCCAACCAAAGAGGCCTCCACAGAAGCCAGTGCCTTGATACGGGACTTCCAGCCTCCAGAACTGTGAGCAACTGCATTGCTGTTGTTTGAGCCATCCACACTGTGGTGCTTTGAGTGGCAGCCCTAGCGTACTAATGCTGGCAGGTAGTGTCATTTTTCTGGACATCCATTTGGCAGATTCCATGGCGCCATGCTTGTTTTCCTAATCAAAACAAACAAACAATCAAAAACAAAGAAAGGCCAAATGCTAACAAAAAAGTCAGCCTAGAAAAAGTCATGTCTTAGAAAGTCCCATTCCTACAAAAGGAAAAAGAAAGTTAGGTCAAGGGTAATTTTGTGTGGAAACACACTAAGGCTGGAGGTCTGGAAATCCACAAACTGCTCCCATTTTGAGGAACACGAAGAAAGTAACTTCTTCCAGCTGTAAGATGGTGCCAATGCCTGTCTCTTTTAGGAACTCTAACAATACCTGACACCCAGCAGGGGCTCAATAAAGTCATTCACTCAGTATTTTTAAGTATTTAGTATATGCCAGACCCCATTCTTAGGCTTATGCACACAGCAATGAGCAAAATAAGCAGCTCCCATACTCCCAAATGAAAGAGAAGATAATAGCAATTACATGCATATTACCAGAGTACTGGGTTCAGTTTATCCAGATCCACTTGGCACTGCCTGTCTCCCAGGTCTAAGCTGGGAATCACCCCAGTCCCCTCGGTAGGAAAGCCTCCTCTTCCACCTCACTCCCCTGGGGTTGGGGGCCACATCAAGTCCTGTGCCAAAATCCAGAGTGGCAGCTGATCCGGGTTATAATGAAACATAAATTTGAAAAGAAGAGTGCAAGGGTAAGTTGACCTGAACAGAAAAGCATGGAGCCAGTTAGGGAAAGGGAAACAAAAGAGCTTACCTGGCTGGGCTGGGGGAGAGCCAGGAAAGATTGCAAAATGCGGGAAGGAAAAAGAAACAGTCTTTGGGGTAGCAACGATGTATGGGTGTTATTGAGAATGAGATAGATGGGGTGGGGTGGTTGACTGTTCATGCAAATGTCCTCATCCTTTTGGGCCTGCAGCCCGAGGGCTTCAAGATAAGAGTGAGGCCCAGCCAGTGTTGCTCAGTGGTTGAGCATTGACTCACCAACCAAGAGATCACTGTTTGATTCCCGGTCAAGGCACATGCCAGGTTTTGGGCTCAATCCCGACCCCCCGCCTCCTCCCCCCCGCCCCCCCCCGCAGGGAGGCATGCCGGAGGCAGCCAATCGATGATGTTTCTCTCTCGTCGATGTTTCTATTTATCCCTCTCCCTTCCTCTCTTTCTAAAAGTCAACAAAAACATATTGGGGGTGAGAAGGCCAAGCTCCAGGAGGTTTCATCTGAGACTTCATGTGGCATATTTAATTTGGTCCTGATTCCCCTTTAAGATTCCTCAACACAAGAAACAATTGTGCCCTGAAATACTCCCATGAAACCCCCCAAATGGCAGACCCTAAATCTTCCCAAAGCAACCCAGAGTCCTCCAATTTGCTCTCTCCTTCATCTCTCCACACGCATCCTTCTAATACTTCTTGAAGGGACATGATACTAGAGAAGCAATCTCACCAATAATATTTTCACTGCAGTTGAACACCAACCTCTCAAAAGAGCAGATTTATTTAAATGTTCATGATTCATAACACTTTTGTAGCATCCTCACCTTATGGGAATCTAAATGGGGGGAAAATTTCTTATTTAGAGAGAATGTGAAACAGAGATTGAATGAAATGTGATAGAAATCTCCCTTTTGTTAAATTTCTTTATACTGCAACAGACTCAAGTCAACACAACAAAAAGTTAAAAAACAAACAAACAACAAAAAAAACTGAAGTAGCTCTTTTAAGAAGTTAGGATATTGGATTTTGGACTTTGGACTAGGATGTTCTAGAACAAGATGCTTGATATTCTGGATGAGGCTTTTGCAACCAGTAGGTTGGGCACACACCATTAGGGCCAAGATAGTCATTCTTTGGATTGGGAAACTCGGGTGTTAAATGCTGTTTCTCTGTGCTTTGGAAACATCTAAAATGTGAATCACCCTAGGGCCTAGGGTGAACAAAGGGTGGAAAACTTGACCCTCTGTTCTCTCCCACTTGGCTGCACAACCAACAAAGAGAGAGGAGCATGAGCACCCCAGAAGTTTTTCATCTCGTACGCTTGTCCTGGAGCCAGGTCTTAAGATAAACCAGACCCCGGAAGGCATAGATTTGGCCACACATGTTAATGGGAGTGATTAACAACTTTAAGACTTTACAAGTGGTTCTAGTTCAGTTTGAAATTTCAATCTGACCTTTGTAATTTCTAGATCATGTTTTATTAGGAAACTTACTGTTCAAATAGTATTTGCTCTTTCAGCCAGAAATGTGTTTACTTTCATGTTCCTTGCATAGCAACCAATCCTGTTGCAGGTCAACATCTAAAGATAGTGCATCATGAAACTCCATTGTTCGTCAATATCTGACTTGGTAAAAAGTCACTATGTTCATTTTTTTCATCCAATTGGCTTTGCTATACTTAATATAGATATGTGTGAGCACATACAAGTACACACACACATATTTCTTACTAGAGGCCCGGTGCACAACATTTGTGCACCTAGGGTGGGGGTGGGGGGTGTCTCTCAGCCCGGCCTGCACCATTTTGCAGTCTGGGAGCCCTCGGGGGGATGTCCAACTGCTGCTGAGGCAGGAGAGGCTCCTGCCACCACCTCTGCACTCACCAGCCATCAGCCCGGCTTGTGGCTGAGCAGCACTCGGTCATTCTGCCATTCAGTTGATTTGCGTATTACTCTTTTATTATATAGGATTTTAACCTATGTATGTTATTAGACTTATTTATATCTATTACTTATTTATTTATTTATATCTATTAATATAAATAAGTGTCTTACTATACACATGTATTCTTTCTCATTTTACTGGCATTAAATAGCTTTCATTGTTAGTAAAAATAGGTAACACCTATTTTTTCAGTGCTTTATAAAATCTAATTCATTTAGAGCTCATAACCATCCTATGGGGTGGCATTATTATCTCCTACTTTACAGATGAGAAAACTGAGGCACAGAGATGTTAAGTAACTTGCCCAAATCACACACCTAGCAAGCTTTGAAGCCAGGATTTGAATCCAGGCAATGTGGATCTGAAATCCATGCTCTTAACCATTATGCTACACTGACTTATAAACCCTGAAGACATAACAATGATAAAAGTCTCCATGTATTGAGTATCAACTATGAGCATATCTCCCTCCAAAGCCGTCAGTCTTAACCACTATTCTATACTGAACGTCCCTGATTGGGTCCATCTTCTGCTCTGTCCCTTCCTCTGTATGCAAAGGAAGGTGCTACTACTCATCTGCCCCTGGTAGGACATGCCTTGGAGTTGCTTTTCTACATGTAATAATAGATTAACACTGAGCCATAAAGGCTTAACTTCAGGGTTACTGCAGGGTTATGATAAAATCTAGCTATAAAATAAAGGCCCTTTTAGGGCATTGGACTCTCACCAACAAAGTTAGTGAGCTGGAGAATCAGTGTGGGGCATATCCGGCTCAGTTCTCATCCTATAGCTCTGCCTGCCACCCTTTAAGTCAGGTGTCTTATAGGACAACCTCTATGCACTCATGAGTGAAGTTTAAGACTCTGGGTTCTTGGCGGAAGTTTCTCATGTTTTGGAGGTAGGGGGTCTTAGCATGTCAAGGAATAGCCTCTTAGCAGCAAAAACTTTTATAACCATACCAATATTTTCTAGAAACTCTGCTGTTTTATGTTAAACTAGTGGCCCAGTGCACGAAATTTGTGCACATTAAAAGGGACTTAATTAGAGGAAATATTTTAATATTGTTATTTGCCCTTCTCTATAATAGAAGTGTCAGAGATGAAAGAAAATTAGTAAAATGTATATGAAAATCTTTCTCCTGTCAGAGTCTGGGGCATGCCACAGGACCCAGAATCAAGTCCGCACCCACCCACATGGACCTCAAAATCACACAAGACCCAGACCTGGCTGGCCCCAGCCCCATTGGGCAAGATCCAGACCTGGCTGGCCCCACCTCCATCAAGCCTCAGGTCCCCTGCCCTGGTGCCAGGCAGGGGGTGCAGCCTCAGGTCCACCAGTACACATTCAGGTGCCCTGGCCTGGTGCTGGGGCGGGGGGCGTGGCCTGAGGCCCCCTCCTCCGGCACCAAGGGATGGGGAATGCCTTGATGTCCCCCATCAAGCCCCATCAGGTGGGGGTGTGGCCTGAGGTCCCCCTGGCCAGTGCCGGGGTTGTGGGTGTGGCCTCAAATCCTTCAGCCCAGGGCGAAGGGCACAGCCTGAGGTCTCCCAGCCCAGCACCAGGGCAGGGAGTGGCCTAGAGGTCCCCCATCAAACCCTGCCAGGCTGAGGGCATGGCCTGAGGTCCCCCCAGCCAGTGCCAGGGCAGGGGGCACAGCATCAGGTCCCCAGGCCCAGGGTGAAGG